GATATATGACACTCGAAAAGTATATATTCATATATTTGAATCCTATTTCCATAATAAATGAATACAAGACGGGTTGGAGGATAAATGAAACTACTTTTTGTACGGATATATATATTAAAGAAATGTAAGTATATATTTGAAATTATTAATGTATCTTTAGACTATTAGACTGCTTCATTATATGCTAAATATTGTGCATGATCGATACGACGACAACTCTTGAAACATTATGAAATTTGTAATATAGGTAATCAGGTATGTAAGAACGCTACATTATGTATTTAGTTATGAGCAGGTATGTTATCAACCCTGTAGTGGCGGTGTAACAATATTCAGTTTCCCTTAACGTCCCGTGGGTGTCGCAAGAGGTGACAGAGGGAAAGAAGATGGACAGGGCACACAGAAAATGGGCTTCAGCATCTTTCTGATAACAATAATAAAAAAACTGCGGTTGCCAACCCACCTGCGAAGCCAAGCGTGGCAACTATGGCAAAATCCTCCCGATGAGGCAATCTATGGTATGGTGGAGCCCTATGTTCAGCAATGGCCTTAAAAGGCTGTAATCAATGGATGGGTGTTGTTTTATTCAAGTAATCAAATGACTACTAGATGATAAATAAACATATACCTAAATAATTCACTGTGTGCATAGGAAGCGCACATCATACTTTTAAGGTCTATCTACAAATGTCTGTCAGGAGTGTAAAAATTATATCGTTTGGAAGATGTTCCAATAAATGTATATATTATATATCAAAATATTTCAACGCCGTCAAGGATAGGTTATATCATTCAGGAAATTCAGAGTAATCCATTATTGATGAACATTTCTGTCTCTATAAAATGCATAACTGTATATTTTATATTACGGGCCGATTATTTCGCGATCCATACCGATTAATGTTCGCAATGAAAGAAAAGTAGGTGTTTTATTAAGATTAAAAATTATAAGTTTTATTAATTATTTTAAGTTATTACAATTTCTCTTTATATAATTATGGCAAATAAATTCTTAGGCCGCGTTTCCACCTGCAACAACACTAAACTAAATTGTCAAAGCCTTCGCGACATCTAAAGCTCTCGTGTGTAAATACCTCTGCGATAAGTTGCGATAGTATTATTTTCGAGCTTCATTGAGATATTTATTGCAGAAAAAATTGCAAGAATTCGTAAGATATTTAAACAGTATTGCAAGAAACTTATGCAAGAATCCCGCGAGTGTTTTTGCAGGTGGAAACGCAGCCTTAGCCCTGATTATTCGACTTATAACAAAAATAAATCTATAATTAGTAACAGGTTTAAACTAGAGACCATGGAGTGTAGAGGTAAAGAGAACCGTCTCTGTATTAAAAAGTGTCCATAGGAAAGCGCTAAATAAGGGTGGCGCCACTGTAACTAGAGGGTAAATTTATAAAGAACTTTTTATAACTGTATATTGCACAGACTTTCGCCATAAGTTTATTTTTATAATAATTATTTTATTGGTTTCAAAATTTTTATTTTTAAATCGATCTCAACGTGTTTCACGGCGACTTTTTCTAGGTTATATTTACTAAATTATTTTAGACAACGTGAGTAGTTGAGATTTTAAATATTGCATTTTCATCAACTACTCTAGTCACCACAAATAACAAATTCCTCAACTCAGCACACTTCACTACGTCGACAACTGCTAAGTTTATTTCATACCCTCTAGTTACTCAACCGCTGTTTTGAAGAGTTTTACTGTTATTTACTGCTTACAGATGGACACTTTTTCAACTATTTTCCTATGTGAGATAGTTCTCCTTACCTCTACACTCCATTCTAAAGACTGTTTCGATAAAGAAGTCCCATAAAAATAATCGACTTAAAATTAAAACGGAATTTGAAAGAAAATATTAAATTTCGCGAAGACTGTGGTGCCGCGGCTTACAAGAGACTACTTTCGTGACAAAGTTTCTTCTTCTTGGCGATACTCCACATTTTGTAATAAGACCGACGAGTTTAAGATCAAATAATCAGTTGTAATAACGGGCGCTAATAAATAAATAAATACACAATTTTTAATTTTTTTACGCATTTATCAAAACATTCTTTTTTTTTCAAAAGTAATTTTATTATTCTTAAATGTAAACCGATTTAAATTATTAAAATTTTAAATATTATAAATCTACACTACTGCAATGAAATGAGTTCCGATGTTAAGCAGTTTTTATTTATATCTACTTTCTATTAAAGTGTTAAATTAGTCTAAAGAATAAATATTTAAAATAAACTAATATGTATTTTAACATTAGCTGTTTACTTTTCCAAAGTACTTACCAAAGTACTCAATTAAAATATATGTATTATTAGTCTTTATAAGGTATAATTATTCAATTTGTATTTGTATGTGGTGTGGTTCAAAACGCAGAAAATTCTTACCCTAATGTGTAATAACTATAAGTGAAAAATTTTGTTTACAAATGTTGTATTGTATAAAGTGGCCTGCCACATTATAAAGTTCCTTACAGTCGGTGTTTAAAGTTAACTATTATATATTTACTTAAAATAATGACAATATCTACTTCCTTAAATGTGTATTAGATAAATTATTATAACATTGATAATTATCAAATTTCATATTCAAATCTTATTAGATATTAAATAAATATTTATGATATAATAACAGTAGATATTGTCAAAAAAAGACATGTCAGATGTGTAAGGTGCGTAAATTATTGTTGCATAATGCCTTAATGGCGCACGATTATTTGCAACAACAACAGGCGGTAATCACAAGGTGTAAAATCACACCTTGTGATATTTATAAAGATAGCACCTCCGAAATAACTTAATGAAAAATATTGCCCTCGGTTTATTTAAACATATTTTAAGTAACTAGGTGAAAATTACCATGTAATTTTACATACGACGACAATATTAATACAATTGTCGAGATTAGAAATGGCAGTGAATATAATAATTTTATTTAATATTCCCAATCATAGAATAAATTATATATCTTCTTCGTTTTTTGTTAATAATATTACGTGATTACTTCATTACACGTACATGAAATTACATTAAATTCAATGCAATCAGTATTTTTAGAGTAGAATAGAAAGATAGATAGAAAATTCTTTATTGCATTCAATACAATTTGGTACAAAGACGAACTTAATGCCGGAAACAAGTATACCGATTGACTTGAAAAGTGTTTTCTTTCCGGATTCGTTTTCGTACACATTCTTATTCACTCTTTAGATCGTTCAAGAGAAGAACAACAATTATGTATAAATTGTAATAACAAATTAGAAGCGTTAACTTTTATGCGTTGTACACATGGATAATTGTACAATATCTTTTCTCAGACAACTATATCATGTGAACATTATATTCATAGAACCGACTCCAAAGTCCCAAATATTAAATGAAAAAGGTACATTAATTACTGTATAAATAATTAAATTATTTAGTACTACAAGTTACAATAATTATAGGATCAATATGTAAAAAACTAAAAATGAAATACTTACACGAGTACCTGACTGAGTAATCCTTGTCAAATGATATTACATTATGACGAAACGCTTTAATGCTTTTTTATATCTCCTGTTCAGGTTGTAATGTCTAGTAATAGATTTTTGGAAAAGATCACGTCGTCGTGGTCGACACTTGGGCTCGTAAAACCGCCCTACCTATATAGTACGTGTCTTTACAGTGTATTTTATATTTTAAATTATATTCTTTTAGTAGAAAATGATTGTAAGTATGTCAAAAGGAAATCTGCACTACATGATGGATGGAATGTAACATACAATGTTTGACGAAAAATACGATTATATCTGTTTAATATTATCTTAGTATTTAGGAGAGTACATTAGTAGAAGCGTAGCTATTAATGATTAATGCGTACGATTATCGACTTTCTAGTGTCGTTTGTTCAGGTACTACTAATATACTCTCCTAAAGCACTAAAATAATGTAAACCGGCCCTAAGTCCATAAGGTAGTAATTTATCAAGCTGATCAAATTAGATTTTTACGTCAAGGAAGCTATGCTTTTGTATGTCAAATAATATTTGCCATTTTTTTATGCTTAATGTCATTTAGGTACATGGTGCAAGTTTCTTGCCTGTTGCAAACAATTAAAGTGAATCAATAATTGACTTTCAAGGTCTAATTAAACACATACCTACTTAATATTTTTGACCTGTTGAACAAGTTCCGACTCAAAACTTTTCTTGGTGTAAACAGTACATACAATAATTTCTTATGCAATTCTTGTATTCAATTAGATTTTCTCTTCATTTGCAAACATAAGTGCAGTGGGTTTGTTGATCGTAGCTGCTCTTCTGAGGCAAGAAAAATTGAGATAATATAGGTAAAAAAGGGGGTTCTCAGAGAATCTACAAGAAAATGGCATCATATAAATGGGCCATAAATGTGAACAATTCGAAGAAGAGTATTTATTCCAGAGGATCACATTTCTAATTTAATTGTATTACTTACTCTGTCATTTCAAAAACTCATTTATATCCATTTTACTTTAATTACAATTGTTTATACTCATAATCTATAGTTTAGTTTCTCATTATATTAACAAACCACAGATCAAAACTGCATCACTATATCTATCATCATTTTGGACCATAATCAAGCATGTGCTTAAATTAATTTAAAAATAATCCGGGTCATATAGAAGTTTCTCATAGTCATAAAAATGTATTTAAGATCCATGTTTATATGTAAACATACAATAGATCAAAGTATCCGACTCATAACAGAGTTACAAACATCAACCCGAAGTTCTGGTCAGTATGAGTCCCACCGAATGAGTGTAACCAGAAAAGTTAGTACTTTCAAAGAAGTATACGAAGCTCGGCTGAAAGTTGGACCTTAGACGGCAATTTGAATTCAGTCGAGTTCATCGAAGTCTAGAACCCGGAAAGTCGGGTTTCGTAAGGTGTGCTGCGGCGAGGGTGTGGGCGGCGCCACGACAACTGCAGGCGGGCGCAGCGCCTGCACGGCTATGTGCTAATCATCCACCAACTCCCACAGCATTAAGGCCGCTTCAATCCCTCCCGTGCTGATCAAGCAACGGTCATTGAATAGAAACCGTGCGTTGTACACGGAACCGGAATAAACCTTCACTTCATTGTATTCTGCCTTTGGACTCGCACAAGGATATCTGAAACAACAAACGGAATTTTATAATTAGTTGGCTATGATATGGAATGGAGTAAGCATATAAAACAAGCCAGATAATGTAAAGTTACAGCCTATATAAACTTTTTATTGTCCTCAGATTTTTTTAAATATTTTTGACCATGAAGATTTCCTTACGAAGTTTTTCTTCACCACGGAGCACTTAAAATTGCTGTTAACAATTTCATTGGTGCCTGCCGAGATTGAACCCAAAATGCTCACGTACTATGAAATATACAGCGAGTGTTTGACCCCTGAACTACTATGGCTCTAAAAACCAAAATTTAATGTCACTAGGGAAAGAAATTCCAGCCTCAAAAATTGACGAAAACTCATTATTGTTACGAGCTTGAGGTTCGTGACAATAAGAACTGCCGATTGAATTACCAAAATTAACACTTTAATTCACTTTACACCAATTAAAACTTAAAAGACACTAATAATTAATTACACTGATTCACTTTATTTCGCTCCGAAGCTTCGCTCGTCTCGCCAAATTCAATACTGCCGATCGTGGAATGCAGCGGGTCTAAATACACGTTTACACCGAAACATTCAGAATATTCCCGTAGATACGGGCACCGACCGACCAGACGCAGAAAGTTCGAGTGTGGGGGCTTCTAGAAAACTTAGTTCTTCAATTCGATACTAGATGGCGCTGTTGGTTGAAAGATTGGTCATGGCATTTTCTGGAAAGCTCTCCTCGCTCTGTTACCCGACACTAGATGGCGCTAGGTACCAGACGTCAACTTAGACGCGCGACACTGCCTCTTCCTAAGACATGCTCGTCCCGAGCGTTATTGGCCCCATAAAACGCGCCAGGCGATCCACATGGATGATCTTAGGAGTCCCTCTTTCGCCTTTCTGTATCCGGTAGGTTACATCGTTGATCCTGGTCACAATCCGGTACGGGCCGTCCCATTTAGCTTGAAGCTTAGGAGATTTCCCTTTGCTGCGGACTGGATTGTACAACAACACTAATGAACCTTCGTCGAACACTTTGTTGTTCATTTTGCGGTCGTACGGGTTTTCATCTTTTCGGATATTTGCTGGCCCGATTGTCTGACGTGCTCATAAATGTCATTCATATTGTTCGGCAAGTCATTTGCATAATGGGTTATACTGCGTGGGGCATCAGGTGGTATCCCGGTGATCAGGTCTGCAGGCAGCCGTAATTCTCTTCCAAAGTTTGCGAAAGCTGGTGTCACTGATGTACTTTCGTGAACAGCGCTTCGATATGATAACAAAAACGGTTGTATGTGCTTGTCCCAATTTCGTTGCAGATTGTCTACAACTTTTGCTAGGTACCTCTCCAATGTCTGATTAAATCGTTCTACCATTCCATCAGATTGCGCGTGATAAGAAGTCGTTCTTATTTTATGAGTACCCATAACTCGGCGAGTTTCCTGGAATATTTGAGACTCAAAATTCCTTCCTTGATCGCTGTGAATTTCTAAAGGTACTCCAAAACGACAGAAGACTTCATGAACTAGTTTATCTGCAACTGTTGAAGCTTCTTGATTTGGAATGGCGAAGACTTCTGACCACTTAGTGAAGTAATCCATCACAACCATGAAATACTTGTTACCGCTTTTATTCTCCAGAAACGGCCCCACCACGTCAATGGCTATTCTCTCCCATGGTGCACCAACATTGTACAACTTCAATGCACCTCTACTACGAGTCTGAGGTCCCTTTACAGCCGCACAACTTGTACATTTGCGACACCAGTCCTCGACATCGTTTCGACAGTGGACCCAGTAAAACCGTTCTCGGATCTTCACTAGAGTTCGTTTAACTCCTAGATGGCCTCCTGAACAATCATTAGGTACTCTAGCTATGACATTTGGTACTCTAGCTATATGGACGACCATTTGCAAATGACAGCCGTCTCCCCGAACATTTTCCCATTAACGGCACAGAGCTCCATCCTGAAGCAGCAAGCTGTCCCATTGGGCCCAATAGCTTTTGGTGGTCGAACTCATCGCTGAGACGTCGCTCCACTTGAGCTTGGGAGCACTGGCCTTCATCCATTCCAGAATTGGCTTGATGTCCGGATCTTCCTGCTGTGCATGTAGTAAGCTGTCCTTCCACTCGTTGCTGAGGTGGTCTGTCCTGAGCATCCTCACGGATACCACTTCCTTACTCTCTTGCCTAGTACAATGGTTGCAATCTTCAGGACAAGGTCTTCTTGACAACGCATCTGCGTTGCCATGAGATTTCCCGCTGCAATGTCCGATAGTAAAGTCGTATTCCTGCTGCTGTTGGGCGGTGATGTTAGCCGCACTTCCCTTCTGAGATCGTTCACCTTCCCTTTCTAGGGCTTTTTTTCGCTTAGGGCAGCTGACGAAGATGGCCCCTTTCCCCACAGAGCACCTCATCGCCCTCCAACTACCCACCCTTTCTGCGGTTTGTTAGGGCAGCTGGATCGAAGATGGCCCCTTTCCCCACAGCCATAGCACCTAGGGCTGTATCCATTATTGCGGTCGCGAACTGCTGTAGCTGCTGCAACCTCCCTGACGCGATGGGAACGAAGATCATGCCGCACGGCTTCCACCTCGAGTGCATGGGCCAAGGCGTTCTTAAGCGTCTCGTGGTGCCCGAGTCTCACAGCAGCTCTGACTTCCAGGTCGCGAATGCCGTCGATGAATTTCTGCACCAGGTTCCCTTCAATGAGCGCAGGTACAGACCGGTATGCTTCTCGCACCAACTTTTCCACCTCTAGAGCCCACTGCTGCAGGTTTTTGTTGATGCGCTGCACACGATCTTTAAGCTGCGCACGAAAGACGTGTTCCAGGTTAGCGTCGCCATATCTCGCCTCCAATGCTTCAAGGAGTTGCTCATAAGTCACTTCCTCACCGAGAGCTTTCAGAACTGTTAAGGCCTGGTCGCGCAGGCGTAGTGTGAGAGCACTCATGACCTGACTTTTATTCCAGCCGTTCGCCTTCATAACAGCCTCGAACTGGATTTTGTAGGCTGACCAGGAAGAAGTCCCGTCGAACGGTGGCACTTTGAACCCACGTAGCGAAAGTGTAGTAGCTATTACGGGAGCTGTAGTTCCATCCACCAGTTTGAGGTCATCCAGCGTTTTCTTCAAGTCAGCCATCACGTAATCAACCAGATTGTTCACTTGGCCGATTTAGGTTTTAGCTTCCTTGATTTGGGTTTCAGCTTCCGACAGGCGGTTATCATGTTGAGCAACCTTATCCTTCACCTCCCTTATCTCTTTCCCGAAGTTAGCGTGAATTTCCTTCACGAAGAGCATCTGCCCTTCCTGTCGGCGGGCCTGTTCCTCCTGTCGGCGGGCCTGTTCCTCCTGTCGGCGGGCCTGTTCCTGCAGCATCACCATCAGAGCACCTAAGTCAGGTGCTGCAGGTGTAGGAGCTGCAGACAGGCCAGCCTCCGTGGCTGGCACTTGGCCCTCTGACGTCTGCGGCGTTGCACCACCAAATCGTCTCTGGTCAGTCTCCTGCTGGCGTTCACTTCGGGTACGGACACCCTCCGTCTCGTCCTTAGGTAAAATCGGCATGATTTTATCCCACTTCTGACACCAATTGTTTCGAGCTTGAGGTTCGTGACAATAAAAACTGCCGATTGAATTACCAAAATTAACACTTTAATTCACTTTACACTAATTAAAACTTAAAAGACACTAATAATTAATCACACTGATTCACTTTATTTCGCTCCGAAGCTTCGCTTGTCTCGCCAAATTCTATACCGCTGTGGCCGTGGAAGGAAAAGGGGAGATCTGCCGCCGGGCAAGGTGTTCTGCCCGGGGAGCGGCCGACACTCCGTGTGATAGTTCGGAGATGTTCATATATACTGTTTATGATTCGGAATTCTGATAGCGTGATTGAGGCTTCGGTGTGTTTCACTTGCGGCGCGACGACAGTGCCGCCACACCACCGATCGTGGCATGCAGCGGGTTTAAATACACGTTTACACCGAAACATTCAGAAAATCCCCTTAGATACGGGCGCCGACCGACCAGACGCAGAAAGTTCGAGTGTGGGGGCTTCTAGAAAACTTAGTTCTTCAATTCGATACTAGATGGCGCTGTTGGTTGAAAGATTAGTCATGGCATTTTCTGGAAAGCTCTCCTCGCTCTGTTACCCGACACTAGATGGCGCTAGTACCAGGTACCAGACGTCAACTTAGGCGCGCGACAGTACTAAATCAGCGATTTAAATGGCTTGGAAATATGTAGAGGTTATCCGTTTCAATTGACATTATACTCTGTGCCTTTAGGTACTTACATTTAAAAAATATCTACACGAGGTCTCAAAAATTAACTGCAGAGTGGACTGTGCTAAAAACTCTGGAAATAGTGTTAATATTGATTTTTCCATTGATAAATAAGAACAAATTAACACGTAATTAGTTCTATGTATTGATTATTTTAAATCATAATTAATACTATAGCCGTGGTAGCTCATGGGCTAACCTCTCTCTATAAATTTCACAATACGCGAGCAACCCGAGTTCGATCCCCGCTAGCACCAACGCAATTGTTATCTGCAATTTTAAGTGACGATTTGCCATGTGCTCGGCGGTGAAGGAAAACATCGTGAGGAAACCTGCATGTCTAAGAAATAAGAACAAAAAATATTTCGAAGATGTGTGAAGTTCACCAACATTTGGGCAGTGCGGCGGACATTTCATTGCCCTAAAACAGTCTCAGAATTGAGAGGAAGCCTGTGCCCAGCATTGGGACGTATATATGCTGTAACTTTAACTTTTTCAACTTTATTATTATAACTGACTATCAAAACATATATATCCTTAGCTAGACATATGCCACCCCTATAGATTAACTTCTATGGGGGAATTTGTCATAAATTCCACGCTTGGAAGTTGGATTGGTAAGTGCAGTTTTTTCTCAGCTGTTAACAGGAAGATGCTGCTGCCCATCTATTCCGACTGCCTCTGTCACCTCCTCCCACACTCACGAGATGTTATGGGGTAGTGGATTATCTTTTTTTATAGAATAAGGGTGACAAACGAGTACACAGTCCACCTGATGGTAAGTGGATGCTGTGGCCCATAGACATCTTTATCTATTATCTATTATCCTCGCTCTTACCATCAGGTGGACTGTGTGCTCATTTGTCAACTTTATTCTATAAAAAAAACTCATTGTAGGTAACACTGCATAAACAATATGCTCCAAAAAACACGTCGAGTAAATTTGAAGGATTTCAAGTGAATGTATCATTTCGTATATTATCGTATCAGCGTAGTGTGAGACTTGCTTTATACGGAAAATGTGATACATGTGACAACGGAATGAGTTGACACATGTAAAAATAGGTTTTTATTTTTACACACATTTAGAGGTCATACGGGTTTATGAAATACCCTCCAAAATTAATATATTTAAAAGCATTGTTCCTCACTTAAATTTTACATTTCGACGAAAGAATGGCGTAAGTGCAACATCGTTCTCTAACTTAACTTAACCTAACTTAATTTCTTTCGATTCTCGCCTATAACTAGTAAAACTTTACCTAAATATACGTAAGTATCCATCGGAGTCACCACTGATCAGAAGGTCGTGCGCAGAGGAACGGCTCGCTGCTGTTATCAGTGACGTCATTGGATAGAAGCGGTTGTTCCACATTCCTTCAGAAATATAAGAAAATATTTATATTTCAAAATGAAACTATGTTTATTAGTGACCGACCGAAGGCTTCAGCTTCAGCCACCTTCGGCCAAAAACATCTTTGCCGAAACCTTCGGCATCGGTTAAAATCGGCCGTCGGTCGGACACTAATGTTTATAAAATGTGTTGTTGTGAGAATGTCCTTTAATGGTTCAAACTTATATTTTTACCTGATACTAGAAAGCCGATAGTGGAATTGTAGGAAGACCATTTAACGTCCTTCATCGCTATTGGACTTTTCTCGGGAGATAAAGCTTTAATATCCCCTATAGATAAAAAAGAAAATATGTGATTTAAGCAGTTTTAAATGAAGTCAAAATCAACCCATTTCATCACTACTCACAGAACGACAAATCATAGTCGGCGGTAACCGTTTGAAGATAGTTTCCATCGAGACTCCAGTCAAGCTGAACTAGTGGTTGAGTGCCACGAATTTTATTAGATTTTTTATATGAAAAACCATCTCGCGATACTCTAAATAGATATATGCTGCCATTTTGTGATGCTATTGCCAAAGTGTCTCCAGCTGGAAAAACATAAAAATGAAAGTTAATATACCTGATTAATAAAACGAAATAAAGTAGTAGGGCACAGACGTGGTCTCACTTCTGCGAGGAGATAATAATACAGCTTATGGTACTTCGTTTTACGGAAATATTATTGAAGTTCGATTTTTACAATAAAATTTAAAGGTTTATGGAATGTACGTCAATAACGATATCTAGCTTTAAATAACAAAAACGCGTATTAAAATAATTTCAACAAATCTCAACTCATTCGATATATTTTTTTCGAAAATTATTTTCTTTTAACTAAAGTTATTGCACATGAATAAGACCTCTTACGGTTTCATATTACACTAGACTAAGGGATTTTTACTTATAGGTAACAAGAAACTTATTACGATTTTTACTGCTTTGACCCGTCTATCACTCGTTAATATATCTTTTTAAGTATACTTCTCTGAGCATGTTTAAGTTTTAGTATACAAATAAACTTTTGCATCAAAAGGTAACCCAGATACAACAGTATTGTCAGCCCTTTTCAACTCACAGTTATACGTATGTCGTTTTAGAAATACCTAATAGAAATAAATATCTTAAAGAGTTAAGGTGCGTTTAAGTAGCAAATAAAAATAATTTCCTAATTTAAAAGTGGATACCTGAATTGTATTGTAAACAGTTCAGCGGCGATCCACAAACTCTTAAAGTGGCAACGTGAGATCCAGCGTCAGCGTTTAACACCACTAAGTGACCCTCAGTGCTGCCTGCTGCAAGAGCCCCACCACTTGGATGCCACGAGATTGACACACATTCGTAACCCACCTAAAAGTTTCATATAATAATGCTTATTGCATAGTTGTAACACTTAAGTACGTGTGTAAATATTACGAAAAAATTGATATTGAAATTTTAATTAAATTTCAAAGGACATGTAAGAATAAAGAACAATAAGAGAATTAATGTGAAAGATGATAGAAGTATGTAAATATTTAATGTATAAATAAGAAATATTGAATGATGTGTTTAAATGACATTATAAGATTCTATCTCGCTTGCACGTGCAAGAAAGAAGAATCTTATTATTAAGGGGAAATATAACCTCAAATGGCTTGGCAAGATCCTCAGTTATGCCGAAAATATTGCAGCATTAATTTTGAAATAAATATATGGTAAAGTTGAGGATTAATGTTAAGGATTATGTGAGACGAAAACACGATTCCTTAAAATTTTCTCGATAGAAAAAAAAATCCAAAGTTACCTCTAAACTGAAAAATAAACCGCTGTTATTCATAAAATACTTTAAATAAGATCATGAAACTTTGCATACTAACTGAACTAAATATAAAGCAGGCCTTATGTTTTTTTTTATTTTTTTTAATGACCATTATTTTCACTGTAAAAAGAAATTGCCTAAACTATCGGCGTCCTGAAGCTTGTTTCCTGCCGCCTGGTTCCAAGCTTGAGGACGCCGATAGTTTAGGTTAGGTAGTTTCATGATCTTATTAAAAGTATTTTATGAATAACAGCGGTTTATTGTTCAGTTTGGAGAGAACTTTGGTTTTTTTTTTCTATCGAGAACATTTTACGGAATCATGTTTTCGTCTAACATAGTACTTAACATTAATCCTCAACTTTATCATATATTTATTTAAAAATTAACGCTGCAATATTTTCGGCATAACGGAGGATCTTGCTAAGCCATTTGAGGTTATATTCCCTCTTAAGTAGGTCTAGAAGATAAATCTCTCTCTTTCTGCTAATTGACAATAGAAACATACGGATATCGAGATATGTTATATTATGTAAGTAAGCGGCTATCAAAGATTATAAATAAGGCCGTTAATGGCGATAAGGTTTATACTATATATATATATATACATATTTTATATATATATATATATATATATATATATATATATATATGCTATTTTACGCTGGTATCCTGTGTGAGCGTGGTCCTTCCTCGATCGAGCCGACCTATAGCTACCACTATACTACCAATATAGCTGAAGCTTGGCTTTACCACGTAATAAAAGGTATTTCATTTGATCTTACACTTGTTAATTTTTTTTAAATAGAATGAGTTTTTTTAGATTAGTGATTAAGTTATATTCATAAACATTTTTTAAAAATCACAATTTGTTCAACCAGTTCAAAAAAAATTTTAGAAGAATAATAAAAAAAATTCATTCTAAAATTACTATTATGATAAAATTCGGTTAGATATAGAAATGACGTCTGCAAACTGCGTGTACCTGAGTGGCAAATAGAAGTTTATGTCCTTTCCAAAGCGCTATATTTTTGTCATGACCTGCCGTAGCGAACATTTCGTCATCTGGGTGAACGGCTAGCCCCATGAGTTGTTTATGATGACCAAACACAATCTGAAATAAATTTTACACTTGTGAATGTTCCATAACACTTGACTCATTCATGATGTTCAAGAAATGGTCGTATAACAATCTTGTTTATATACCAAAACCATTTTGTAGAACAGTTTTCGGACAACATTAATCGAGTAACACTGTTTAACCTGAAGTTGTTTTCCATGAGTTTTGTGGCCTCCAAGAAAAGCAAATGACGTCAGTATCTATACTTCAAGCATTTAATTTAGACAAATTTAAATTTAATATTTAACTCAAAATTATTAATATAATCAATACATAATACTTTTGTGCAAGTTATGCCTACATAGTATATCAAAATACAATTTTCGAAATTTTGTTTTATCTGTAAGCATGTTGTAGTAATTGTGTTCAGCTTTGTAGACCAAATAAAGAGATAAATGATAGAATCAGGCGTTACTTTGCGGAAATCCATTATAATAAAAAATATAAATTTCTTCGCAACCTTCCGCTAAATAAATACAATAATGTGTCTTACCTGGATTGAAGAGCACCTCCCGCCCTCCCTCAGTTGCATGCACTACTCACAACACCACTATTCCAGGTAAGGACACACCATCGACTTATCGCCTCTACACGAGGCATCTTCAGGTAATGTAAACTACGGCGGCTGACCGCTAAGTGAGCGGCGAGGCGAAACAGCTGCTATTTATACACGCCAACACAATCGCTCTCCACCAACGTTATAGAGTATACGAGTTATCGCACGGCGCGGTCACTCGCTACTTTGGTGGGGAGCTATTGTGTCGGCGTGTATAAAGCGGGCTACATACGACACGATATCGGTGGCGATCTAGGGTGGAGTAGTAGGGATGCCTCCTAGATTGCCTCTAAATCGTGTCGTATGTAGGGCCATCCTAAGTGGTGGCCGATATCGCCTCCTTAATCGGCTGGCAGGAGCAAAAATGCTTCCTAGATCAGCCGATGCTTCCTAGATCGGGGCACCGCCCCCTCCTTACTGCGTGTGTGTAGGCGCATCGGCCCGATTTCTTTTGGCAGTCGCTGCCGGCAACCCTCGGCGGAAGGAAGTTAACAAAACAGTGATACTGAATGACCTTTTTTATATAACAAAATTTTTACATTTTAATCATATAAACGGAGTAGAAGCCTATGGCACTGATATTTTACAAAAAACCAAAAAAAAGTGAATAAAATAAATAAATTAATTGAAATTTTATCGAAATTCAAATCATATTCACCCTAGCTTGTGACCCTGCAAAGTGTCACAAGTTTTATTGCCGTTCGTAAAGTAGAGTGTATGATGTAAGTAAGGAGAAGATAAAGCCTCTCCTCAACAACTAACTCCTATTCCAACGCTATCAACACAAGACCGCACTCATATCTCTTACAACTCCTTCGATCTCTTACGTGCCTTCATCCTCTTATCAACAACTAACTTCTACTCCTTCACCATCTCCACATCAACAAACAAGTTATATAAAAGGGAGTATGTCCGAAATTAAAGGTTTCTTTATGTTTAAAAAAAAGATATAAGCTATTTTATTTTCTGATAGTTTTACTCCATAAATAAAGATTACATTAAAAAAAAAAGTATACATATTATTATACAAAAGTATTTTATTTCCTTGTTTGTAGTGTGTAATACATAACCAGATTTTGACCAAAGCAGAAATGAACAAAGAGAAGAAATAACTAAATAGCATAGGTAGGAGAAATTCACGTTTATATATAAGTGGCGAAATCATTTCTAGAAGGTTATAAAAACTGTCTTCATCCATCCGGAGAAAATTAATCACGTCCATGGATTACAGGCCATTTAGTACGTTTATGTGGCTTAATTTTTATCTCTTTTGGAGCCATTTTTTCACCCAGCAACTTCTCTTTTTCTATTTTCGAATAAATTAACCGAGATGGCTAATGCCAAACCAACACGGTGGTGTTTTAAGAGAGTCGGAGGTATTTTGAAGAACTCTACCGCATATGCGTTCCGCTCCAAGTCTGAACGCGTACTGCTAGGCAGGCCCGTGTGTAAGGTCTACCCCGATAAAAGCCCCGATTTCTTTCCACCCTAGATCGCCACCGATATCGTGTCGTATGTAGCCCGCTTAAATAGCAGCTGTTTCGGCTCGCCGCTCTTTTTGCGCCCTCCTTTCTGCCAAGGAGGGTCGCGTTCGTATACGGCTTAGAGATCTCTAGTCAGATCGTTAAGCCAATTCCTAAAAGGCGGTGTTTAGTGGGTAAAAGTCTCCACATAACCACGCAGCCGGCTGCGTTGGTATGCTATGAGCATTCACCGCCTCCCTCCCCCGCTTTCCGGAGGGTTGCCCATATTTGCTTCGGGCGCAAAAAAAAAACTCGCCGCTCACTAAGCAGTCAGCCGCCGTAGAGTCCACATTACCTGAAGATGCCTCGTGTAGAGGCGAAACACGTGTCGTATTATCGTCGATGGTGTGTCTTACCTGGAATAGTGGTGTTGGGACTAGTGGTGACGGAGTTAGTGCATGAAATTGAGGGAGGGCGGGAGGTGCTCTTCAATCCAGGTAAGACACATGATTGTATTCAGTTAGCGGAAGGTTGCGAAGAAATTTATATTTTTATTTTTTATCAAATAAAAAGAGAAAGAAAAGACCTGTGACGGGAAGTAATAACGAAGGTTCGAAGCGTCTCGATGTGCCGTCGTTAACCAGCCTGCCGAGTGAGATGATCTTGCTAAATATGTCCAATACAATCCAATGGCATACAATGAAAGAAGTTGTTATTTCTCTGTTACACGCATAATATTATGTTACATTCGTTTACTTACTTCTCCGTTATACGTCCACTACATTATATTCCTGTAGTGATTAACAGCGTGACCGAGTTGCTATTACGTTGCGAATCGTAGGTTCAAATCCCAATATTCTATCATTACTTAAAATCAAATAAAAACATCGAAATTATACAATAGCAAAAAATGTGGTGGTAAAATTATATGGTAAAATAAATTTTAAGGAATTACAAATTATGCATTACCTGATTGAACCTTCTTTGAAGTGATCCTTCCATTATATTGTTCTTTGTAGTACCAATGTAAAGATTGCCATCATTTCGGCCTGGCCTTTGAGGATAAATACTCCGAACGCCTCCCGCAGTTTCGGGCAGCTGCAAGTTAAGTGTATATTCAGTTACCATTTTGGTTTGAATTTTATAGTTATACTAGAATTTTCGTTTAAACTAGATATTTGGTGACGAGTAAAAAAGGTTTCAGCTGGCCTTAAGAATCCAAACAACTATAATGAAGTCATTCACGATTAACAAATTTTAATAGCGGGAGAAATAAATTTATTAGAAAAGTGTAGAGAATTTTTTCTTTTTGATACATATATTAGTTATATTTTATTAGAAATGGATTACCTAAATTACTAATCAAAAAAGTTGAAGAATTTAAAAAAATATTAATAATGTAAAAATTTAAGAATACAGCTATGAGGCATTATTTTGTATATACGGGGTTTTTAGCAATAGCATCAGAATATTTAATATAAGCAAATGGTGAAGAAAACTTAAAAAAAATATCAAACATTTTGTCTTTTTTTTTAAATTCAAAATGCGTGCATTATTTTACTGATTTTACTGCGTACGCACACATTCGTAAGGGTCGATCGATAGACAAAAAGGTTGTTTCCCATAAATCACATTCAATTTAGGATAATTTCAAATAAAAGTAGAAGCCTTATTTACTCGTATTTTCAAAAACTGCAATAGCGATATATAATTATTTACATATTTAAACTGGTTGCGCGGAAAACCATTCGCGCTTTTTTTATTTTTGACGGTAGGAACTTGTCGAATCATTATTCCCTTCCGAAACAATATCATTCGTACCCTCCTATCGACACATCGGGGTGGTGGGGTGGGAGGGGAAAGAAGACGATTCTAGAACATCGCGTAATCATCGGACCCGAGGATATATAAGACACGCGCGACCGACGCGCGCTCTCTTCTCCCGCCGCAGTCGTCGTTGAACTACAACCTCCTCTTCCCGCGCGCTCGTTTGGAAACACCTCACTAGTGGAAACCGCTTTGGCCTGGAAGCAGTCGAGCTCCAGGAACCCGCCTCACCTCGTGTGAGATATCGTCGCGCACCGCCTCTCTCCGGAGTGTTCCGGAAGTCGCCGCTATAGTGATCGACAGGAAGAAGAAACCCCGGTGAGTCAATACTCCTTAATTATACCTGCTTGCTAATAATTTAACCCGCTCCAATCTGTGTTTTTTTCCTAGTCAAGCAGGATTCCTTTCATCGATTCGACAAGTAATAGTTTAGTTTAGGGAAGAGCGAGTGCATTGTACCGCATGCTATAGTAGTCGCTTTTAACGTAAGCGTAGAAGCAATCGCATATACAGTCCACTTTACTTAATATCTCGCGTAATAGGTTTGAGGTTTGACCGGGGAACTAGATTTTCGGCAGCCTTAAACACGTGGCTCCACCATTTTATGGTCCTTCGAGCCGGATCTGGATTGGTGTTTAGTGGTTATCCAACCATTTTCTGGTCGAATTATTAAATTAATTGTTTAGATAACGCACTCTAATTTATAGAGTAGACTTAAATAGTGTTCGTTTAAATTAAAATTTTGATTTGTTACTCGCAAACAGAATTATTCATTTAATAGCGCTCGTATTTGGTTAAATTTAAAGCTTATTAAATAATTGAAACGGCGTGATAGCAACCGTTTGATACGCTTACCCCACAATTTTATAAAATTATTAGGTTTAGCAAACGACGCGTAGCCTTGACTGCATCGGGCGCTCGATCTGATTACGTAATACAGCACGCCGAGTATTCATCCTACGTCGTTTATGCGTGTGAGATTAATTGTGATTAATATAACTTTATTATAATAATTTAAAATGGCAGTTAGTGGAAGTGAAATCAAAATTAAAACGCTTTATGCCAAGAGGGACATACTCTTTTCGCGTGTGCAAAATATAAGTGATTATATAAAGAACATTCATATAGAGGCAGTGCGGGAGGCCTTTTTAAATGAAATCGAAACGATAGATAATTTGCGGACAGATTACGAAAGAATATTAGATCAAATTAATCATTCGGAACTACAAACCGACCCGAAATACATAGTGAACTACCAACCGCTGCTGGCATTCGAAGATATGTTGTGTCGCGTGAAGAGAACCGCAAAATTGCTACAATCTCAAGGTGAAGCGAAGCCTGAAATGCAGGTACGCCCTCGTGACTCAATTAGGTTACCGCCAATAGATATTCCGGTATTCAATGGTGATATTAAGACGTGGCCCTTCTTCTTCAGTAGTTTTCAAAACAATATACACAACAACCCATCGTTATCGGACGCTGAAAAATTATATTACTTAATTAGCAAACTTAGTGGCAGAGCACAGTCGATCTGCTCGGGTTTTACACCTACAGCAAACAATTACGTATTAATATTTGAAACGCTTAAAACTAAATATGAAGATAGGAGAATGTTAGCTTCCGAATATTTGAACCAGATATTCGATCTTAAACCTATATCATCCGCGAACATCAACGGCTTAGAGCAGTTTCTCGATAAATTTGTGGCATCGGTGGCTGCACTTAAGAATTTGAAGTTTGATGACCTTATGGACGTGGTGTTTCTCCATATAGCATTAAATAAATTAGACTCCGACACCGTGCGTGCGTTTGAAATGGAGCATCGTAGCTCGGAGATGCCTTCCTTTCATTCATTAGCATCGTTCGTGCGAGATCAAATAAAGGTGATGCAGCGCTCACCGAACGTTAAACAGGAGATTAAAAGGTGCGTCGACCGTAGACAGACTCAACCATCTAAAATAGCAGGGTCGTTAACTTACGTAACCGCTACGCCGACATCGCTCCAGCATACTTGTATAGTATGTAAAGATAAACACGGTAATTTATATAACTGTGCGACTTTTCGTAAATATTCACCAAGCGAACGTTATAAGTTAGTAAAAACAAACAACCTATGTTTGAACTGCTTAAGCGATAAGCATTTAGTTGCAAAATGCAATTCGAGTTCCGTATGTAGCAAGTGCGCCAGGAAACATCACACGCTATTACATTTTGAAAATAGCAACATAGCGGCGTCAAGTAAGGCGAATAAGGAATTCACCCCTACTAAGGTCAACGATTCTAGCGGTCGACCTGATGATGTCGCTCTGTGCTCATTGGCAAATATGGGAGCACAACCTCCTTCAACCGTGTTACTGGGTACGGCGCGTATTTTGGTTAGGGATTCGCGTGGAAACAAACAAAGCGTCCGTGCACTGCTGGACAGCGGAGCCCAAAATAGCTTTATAACACGACAATGTTGTCAGCGCTTAGGCTTAGTAATAAATAGGTCACTTTCATGTCCTGTAGTTAAAGGCATCGGAGGTACTAGTAAAGCGACACAGGGATATATAAATTTAAAATTTTATTCTCGGATAGATCGTAACGTTAACTTTGATATAAATGCACTAGTAGTAGATAGGGTCACTGAACGGTTGCCAACCGTTTCGGTTGACACCTCGGCAATGATTGAATTTAAAAATTTGACTCTAGCAGACGACACTTACGCCGTTCCTGGAAACATAGACATGCTCATTGGGGCATCGCTTTTCCCTCATCTTTTGTTAAACAATAAGGTCAGGGGCAACTCCTCGCATACCGCGCCTTACGCACTGGAAACCGTATTGGGCTATGTGATCCTTGGCTCCGCCCCCATCCTAGATAGTATTTCGGCAGCCTCTTATTGTGGTATGGCTGTCGAACCGCTCGAGTCGTTAGTCCGCAAATTTTGGGAGATGGAGGAGGTGAACGTCCCACCCATAGCTAGTTCAGCTGACAGGATATGCGAGGAAATTTACGTCCGCACGACCGTTCGTGATCGCGACGGTAGATATAGTGTAGCGCTACCCTTTAAGGGAGATGTTTTATCTCTCGGCGATTCGCGTCAAATGGCGGAAAAACGTTTCTACAGCTTGGAGCGTAGGATGCTCGCTTCGCCCCAGTTAAAGGAAGCTTACGACGGCGTCATTAACGAATATATAAGAGAAGGTTACATATCACTTGTGGCTTCGAAATTAGATAACTACGAAGACACACCGTCGTATTTTATACCACACCACGGAGTCATTAGAGAGGACAAACTTACATCTAAATTACGTGTAGTGCTCGACGCTAGTGCTAAAACTAGCACTCACCTGTCGCTTAACGATATCCTCTATAGTGGGCAAAATTTACAGGGCAGTTTATTTGATATAATAGTCAATTTTCGTTTGTTTAGTATAGCACTATCCGCCGATATTCGCCAAATGTTTCTTTGCATAGGGGTCCGTGAATGCGACCGTAGATTCCAGCGCATTTTATATCGTTTCAACCCAAAGGAACCTCTAATGGTGTTTGAATTTAACCGCGTTTGTTTTGGTTTAAAGTCGAGCCCATTTCATGCGTTACGCACGGTGAGACAGCTCGCTCACGATGAAGGTCCCTCTTATCCTAAAGCTAAGAGGGCAATTGAGAGCGGATTATATATGGATGATTTTGTGTATTCGGTCGATAGCGTGGAGGAGGCCACCCTAACCACCGCCGAGGTTATAAGGCTCATGAAATCGGGTCAATTCGATCTTGTGAAGTGGACTAGTAATTCGCGTCCGGTTTTAGATACAATCCCACTATCACACCGTCTTTCGGCGATAAAGGAATTTGACGATTCCGATACACACAAGGTGCTCGGTCTGTGTTGGTCACCAGAGTCCGACGTGTTTAGCCTTAAGGTAAATCCGCCCGTAGAGAAATGCACAAAGCGCACAATACTGTCATGCGTTGCTAGATTATGGGACGTCATGGGTTTCGTAGCTCCGGTGGTATTATACGCTAAGCTTTTGATTAAACAACTTTGGTTATTTGAATGCGATTGGGATGACTCGCCGCCTGACAGCATTGTTCGATTGTGGCAGCGCTTTAGAGAGGAACTTCCTTTACTAAGAGAAATTAAAATACCGCGTCATATAAATGTCGATAGAAATAGCAGCATAACGGTTGTTGGATTTGCAGACGCCAGCGAGAAGGCTTACGGGGGGCGTTGTATATTTCCATGTCCAGAATAATGGTAGAAATTCGATTAGCCTCATTAGTTCTAAGTCGAGAGTCTCCCCCCGTAAGGTTGTCTCTCTGGCGCGCTTAGAGCTTTGCGCAATATTAGTACTCACCAAGCTTATTACCACAGTTATCGGCGCATGTAGGGATAGAGTTCACATAGAAAGAATATTTGCCTTTTCCGACTCCACCGTCGCCTTATGTTGGGTTCATTCTTCACCCCACCGTTGGGATACGTTTGTCGCGAACCGAGTGGCCAAGATCCAAGACGAGTTAGAAACGCGGAACTTTTATCACGTGTCCGGTAAGGAAAACCCTGCCGATTGTCTATCCCGGGGACTCACCCCGATGCAAATAATGGACCACCCGCTTTGGTTCCATGGACCTTCTTGGGTTCACTTGGATCCCTCACAATGGCCAATAACCGATTTCGAACCTTCGTCAGTGTCACAACCGCCGGAAGAGAAGAGACACGCTCTAGTGGCGAACGTTTCGAGCGAGGTTTCTCCAATCATTGCTCTGGCGAACCGCTTGTCCTCTTGGTCGAAATTATTGCGTAGCGTAATTTACGTTTGTCGATTCGCGAAGCTTTTACCGCGACGTCCGTATGTCTTAGCATCCGATTACAACTATGCCGAGTCGCTAGTATTACGTGAACTTCAACGTGCGCACTTCTCTGAAGAAATTACAAGATTACAATCGAATAGAGCTTGTAGTCGCGCCTTTCAACGCCTTAAGCCATTTTTACAGGATGGGATTGTAAGGGTAGGTGGACGCTTGTCCAACTCGCAATTGAGTTTCGACCAACGGCACCCTATAGTTTTACCGCGTAAAGACCATATCATGAACTTATTAGTCGATTATCATCATAAATTGAACTCGCACGCTGGCCCCGATTTATTGATGTCGATCTTGCGTCAGAATTATTGGATTCTTTCTGCACGTAGTTTAATACGCAATCGGGTGCACAGATGTATAGCTTGCTTTCGGGCACGCCCCAAGCCGTCATTTCCGGAAATGGCGGAACTTAGATCTTGTAGAGTGATACAATCGGTAAAGCCCTTCACGCACACCGGGTCTGATTTTGCTGGTCCGTTTAAGGTCACGCTCACTCGCGGGCGTGGTATAAGATCCACAAAGGCTTACGTCTGCATTTTCGTATGTCTAACTACTCGAGCAGTGCATATAGAACTCGTTGGTGATCTAAGCACAGCAGGCTTTATGGGTGCATTTAAAAGATTTCTATCGCGCAGAGGCCCTGTAAGTAGATTATATTCGGATAACGGTACGAACTACGTCGGTGCAAAACGTATTCTATCGGAACTACATGAGCTCTTAGCTAGCAAGTATTATAATTCGGAGTTCGCTCACATTCTAGCCGAGAACCGCATTGAGTGGTCTCTGAACGTCCCAGCCGCGAGTCATTTTGGGGGCAATTGGGAGACTAATATTAAAAGTCTAAAGAGCCACTTATACCGAGTAATAGGAGATCAAATTTTGTCCTTCGAAGAGCTAAGTACGGTGCTCGCTCAAATTGAATGCGTAATGAATAGCCGCCCACTTTGTCGGACGTTATCTAGTGACCCCTCGGAACCGCTGGCTCTAACTCCAGCACATTTTTTGACTTTAACGCCTCTAAGGTATCTGCCCGCCGCGGATATGGATGAGAACAGACTTAGCATTTCCACACGCCACAAATTATTAGATCGGTTAGTGCAATCGTTTTGGAAACGATGGAGGATGGAATACTTGCATACTTTGCAGTCTCGGCAAAAATGGAACACAGCGACAGAGCCTTTAGCTGTAGGAACCGTAGTTGTGCTCACTAAGGAGAATACGCCGCCTCTCCACTGGCCGTTAGGAATCGTCGAGGAGGTCTTTCCCGGTTCCGACGGAGTAATTAGGATAGCTCGCGTTAAGACCACGGTTGGGTCTTACCTACGTCCGGTTATCCGTTTGTGCCCCTTGCCTCTTCCATAATTTAAATTAGCTTTTTAGACTGAAATTGTAGTTTAATTTAGGTAATCTTAGCGTTAGTTAGTTATTTGTTAGTCGATCTTAGCTCTAGTTGTTTAGTTATTTTTTTTTTGAAGGAAATCCTTCAAGGGCGGGGGGAGATGGTTGCGCGGAAAACCATTCGCGCTTTTTTTATTTTTGACGGTAGGAACTTGTCGAATCATTATTCCCTTCCGAAACAATATCATTCGTACCCTCCTATCGACACATCGGGGTGGTGGGGTGGGAGGGGAAAGAAGACGATTCTAGAACATCGCGTAATCATCGGACCCGAGGATATATAAGACACGCGCGACCGACGCGCGCTCTCTTCTCCCGCCGCAGTCGTCGTTGAACTACAACCTCCTCTTCCCGCGCGCTCGTTTGGAAACACCTCACTAGTGGAAACCGCTTTGGCCTGGAAGCAGTCGAGCTCCAGGAACCCGCCTCACCTCGTGTGAGATATCGTCGCGCACCGCCTCTCTCCGGAGTGTTCCGGAAGTCGCCGCTATAGTGATCGACAGGAAGAAGAAACCCCGGTGAGTCAATACTCCTTAATTATACCTGCTTGCTAATAATTTAACCCGCTCCAATCTGTGTTTTTTTCCTAGTCAAGCAGGATTCCTTTCATCGATTCGACAAGTAATAGTTTAGTTTAGGGAAGAGCGAGTGCATTGTACCGCATGCTATAGTAGTCGCTTTTAACGTAAGCGTAGAAGCAATCGCATATACAGTCCACTTTAGTTAATATCTCGCGTAATAGGTTTGAGGTTTGACCGGGGAACTAGATTTTCGGCAGCCTTAAACACGTGGCTCCACCATAAACTTTAGATTAAAATTTGGCTACTCTTTGAAAAATAACCCATGGACAAACAAAATAATACATGCAGTAGAAACCGAGAAATTTTTAATTGAAACCATTGAGCTATTATGTACTACGTCCTAGAGGCGACACTGCATTCAGCTACTCTGTTCCACAGTTCCACTCAACTTTAATCAGGCACTATCTAGGCGCTTGTAGACTTGTCACGCGTTGTGATGATTAAAAAAAAATCTCTTGATAAAAATATGCCGTCGTGTGTACTTAGATATTGCACAAATAATTCAAGAAATGTCAGTAAAAACCAAGGAACTTTTCATCGGTTAATAAGACACTTAATCAATAAAAAAAAGTATTATAGAATAATAATAAAACAAATTATTCCTAAGACGCCATCTCGTATCATGGAATATAGATTATGAAATTAATATGTTCAGATGCGACATTTCTGTGGGTACTTAAGTATAGAACGAATATATTATTATACACATTTTTTTTGTAGAAACATTTATAATTTTTCATATTTCAACAATCTGCTTATTATTCTTTTATTTTATTTTTAGGTTTCCACATCAAAGTCTAAGTGGAATAAATTCATCCATTTTTAACTCTCGCGTGTCCAGTATTTATGAACGACGCTTATTCTAATTTAAATAAATATACTTGTAATTTAAAAGTTTTGTTAAACATACATTTAGTATGTTTTTTTATATTTGACATAGATACCTTTTCAAATATTCAGATGAAAATATCAATAAAATGTCATTGTGATATAATATTATGTAATATTATATTAAATAAGCAAATATAATATACAAAATAAATGACAGAATTTGAATAATGTTCTCTATATAATTTACCTATTTAACAATACAATCTACTATTACCTACGGATCATTCTACCTATGTTTATTCTATGATAAAAAACAACCGCGCGAACACAGAGTAGCGCACATTTTTTGTTTGAAATAGCTGTTCCAGTACGTACTTAAGTACGTATTACCTCAATGATTAAAACGCAATTATTTCAACGATGATGAGACTGTGTTCTAACTAGCGACATTTAGTAAGCATAAGATTATAAGCCCTCTTTATATCACTAGCACTACTCTAATGTTTAGGTTTTTTGGGCTGTCGTTATCATTAACATAATCCCGATTCATTTGTTATGTCAAATAACAAATTAAAAATATGTAACTGAACTGTAAAAAATGTAATGTAAGAATACCTTTGTATCGGTGATCTTTTTATAGTTTTGTAAGGAATCCCAAGCTGCCACTTTCCTATCCTTTTCGCCACCAGAGATCAATGTGCCTTCGGACAGCATCACTAGAGAACTGATACCTTTTATGTGGGCCTGTAAGAACAAAAAACAAAACAACTGTAGCAGCCAGATTAATCAAACCGAAACGGAAATAAATAATATATACTCCGCTGCTACCATAACGCGGAAGGCGAGAATAAATAAAAAAAAAACATTTTATTTCCTAATTATTCTTGGCTACTGAGATACTGCGGACTGTATATAGATAATTTGACGTTCTTATAAAGAAACAAGAAGCAGCCGCAAATATCATTCAGCGCCACACCGACTTCACACGCCGCTATCGTCACGTATCCGTCGACCAATGGTGAGCCGTTTCTTCAACGCCGCAGTTCGTTTCCTCTTGCTGTTCCGGAGCTGTATTCCACACCGCCGCCGCCCGCCGACTACGCGTGCGCACCGATCTGCATGTCTTATATAGCCCGGTCCAGCGACGTAGCTTCGTGAACAACAAACAAGTCTCACGCCGGGAAACGAAACGTAGATAATTGTATATTTTAAATAGTTTTCATTGGTCATAAAATAAGCAATATAATTGGCTAGGCAAAATATTAATTGTTACCATTGGCAAATCAATAGTGAGCCAGCCATATAAATATAGGCAAGGTTGATGCAAAATATATTCCATTCCATTCCGAATCCCATTCGACAGTACATTCATAAACATAAACAGTAGTTTCATTTCTCCACCTTGAAGAAAACCACTCGGAGTCTGTTAATAGTGGACAGTTCGTCTCCACTATTACAGTGGTGACCCCGACGTGATCTGAACATGCAACCAACAACCTTCGGAAACTTCAAGCTTTCATCATCGTCATAAATACCCCACCCATTCGCTCCCGAGCAGATATCGTCTGCAGTCTTCATATCTTGCAAGCCATCTAGCTTCACAAGGTTCATCGCAGCACTGGAATAATAATGCTTCCTGTTCCTTCAAGCTACTCTCTGCGCTATACAGTGTTCGGCACGGCTCTGAGCCTTACTGCTCGCCTCTGCTTCACGGCACTCTCGCAGATTACTTGCCTTCTTCTCGACTCACCGCAGACTACAAGGCAATCCACTGGCACTTGCACATTCGTCGGCAACAAGGCTGCACTATCGACCTCCGGTCTGAGCAGGGGGGTGATGTAGCGGCGCTGTCGACGCGCCACTAGCACACCGAAACACACCGAAGGCTAAATCGCGCTATTAACATTCCGAATCATAAACAGTATATATAGAACATCTCCGAACTATCACATGGAGTAACCCTTGCTATCTTCAGCGACGCATCCGATCTCTCAGCAGGAGCAGTTCTCCAACAATACAGCAATGGGAAATGGCAACCACTTGGATATTTTTCGAAGAAGTTCTCCGATACTCAACGTAACTACAGTACATTCGACCGAGAGCTACTCGCTATTTACATGGCTATCAAGCACTTCAGAAAAACGTTCGAGGGTCGAAACCTGATCGTTTTTACCGACCACAAGCCATTAACATATGTACTTCCAAAGAAACCATCACTATCGGAAACACCACGAAGAGCAAGACAACTTATTTTCATAAGTGAATTCACGACCGACATACGTCACATCAGTGGAAAGGACAACATAGTTGCCGACGCACTCAGTCGCGTACCAATCGACAGTGTAACGTGCCCTACATCAATCGACTATCATAAGATCGCCGCAGCACAAGACAGAGATAGTGACAACATAAAACATCTATCGAAGCAAGGTAACTTGTCCATCAAGCAAGTTACAATGCCAATGACGCATCTACCAATATACTGTGAAGCCTCAACGACAACCATGCGACCATACATACCAGAAGAATGTCGTCGCGAAGTCTTCAATGCACTGCACAACATTAGTCATCCAGGTGTTAGAACAACAAGAAAACTCATCACTGAAAAATTCTTTTGGCCTGCAATGCAAGCGGATGTTGGCAACTGGGCGAAGCAATGCATTCAATGCCAAAAATGCAAAGTTCAAAGGCATACATCAAGTAGTCTAGCTACATTTCCACCCACGGAGAGATTCGAACACTTGCACGTTGACATCGTTGGACCATTACCTACTTCACCGCAAGGACATCGTTATCTCGTAACAATGATCGACAGAACAACAAGATGGCCAGAAGCAATACCTACCGATGATACTTCAGCCGAATCCGTCGCGAAGATAATTTATGAAAATTGGATTACTCGTTTCGGATCACCTAAAACCATCACAACGGATCAAGGAAGGAATTTCGAAAGCAACCTATTCCTCAAACTTCTTCAAACTATGGGAATACAGAAGACGCGTACAACAGCATACCATCCTCAGTCAAACGGAATAATCGAACGATGGCATCGTACATTAAAGACTGCACTCAAAACTCGTTTATCTCAACATACAAAGTGGATTGATGAGCTACCTACAGTGCTACTCGGACTACGAGCAACACCGCGTGCAGACACTAGTCTTAGCGCCGCTCAGCTAACCTACGGCTGCAGCATAAGGCTGCCGTGTGACTTCTTCAGTTCAGCAGCGTCAAACAAACAAGAAATGGATTACGATTTCGTAACTAAACTTCGAGAATCAATTAACAAAGCCTTATCGTTGAAATGCACCGAAATGCAATCACACAGAAATAATAAATCAGTATTCATTCACCAAGATTTGAAAACATGCAAACAAGTTTTTGTAAGAAACGACGCAATGAAAAAACAATTTCAACCTACCTACGATGGACCGTATAAAGTATTAGAGAGAAATAGCAAGACTTTTAAACTACAAATACCCGGAAGGAAATCTACGATTATATCGATCGACCGACTAAAGCCTGCCTATATTATTAACGAGGATACTGCAGAGGATTCATCATCATCATCAAAACCACCAGCGAGGAAGCTTGAAAATTCATCATCTACATCAACCCAGTTGAAACCTATTTTAAAAACTACGAAATACGGGCGAGTCGTCAAGCCTCCGGTACGCTTTCGCTGGGGGGAGAGTGATGTAGCAGCCAGATTAATCAAACCTAAACGGGAATAAATAAGATATACTCCGCTGCTACCATAACGCGGAAGGCGAGAATAAATAAAAAAAACATTTTATTTCCTAATTATTCTTGGCTACTGAGATACTGCGGACTGTATATAGATAATTTGACGTTCTTATAAAGAAACAAGAAGCAGCCGCAAATATCATTCAGCGCCACACCGACTTCACACGCCGCTATCGTCACGTATCCGTCGACCAATGGTGAGCCGTTTCTTCAACGCCGCAGTTCGTTTCCTCTTGCTGTTCCGGAGCTGTATTCCACACCGCCGCCGCCCGCCGACTACGCGTGCGCACCGATCTGCATGTCTTATATAGCCCGGTCCAGCGACGTAGCTTCGTGAACAACAAACAAGTCTCACGCCGGGAAACGAAACGTAGATAATTGTATATTTTAAATAGTTTTCATTGGTCATAAAATAAGCAATATAATTGGCTAGGCAAAATATTAATTGTTACCATTGGCAAATCAATAGTGAGCCAGCCATATAAATATAGGCAAGGTTGATGCAAAATATATTCCATTCCATTCCGAATCCCATTCGACAGTACATTCATAAACATAAACAGTAGTTTCATTTCTCCACCTTGAAGAAAACCACTCGGAGTCTGTTAATAGTGGACAGTTCGTCTCCACTATTACACAACTTTTTTTTTGTAATTGTTACAGTCAATGTGCGCCCCACTGCTAGGCACACGCCTAAAGTCAAAAGAAAATCTGTATTACTAATACAGATTTTCTTTTGATATTTTCCTTCACTGCCGAACCAATGGTAAATTAACACGTAAAACTGCAAATAACAATGTCATTAGTGTCGGCAGGAAACAAACCGCGGTTGCTCGAGTGAAATCAACTGCGAGCGCATAGCTACCATTTCTCACAAAAAAAAAAAAAACAAAAACATCAGCAGCTCAGCAGTAAATGTACTAAATGAAATGAAGTGAATGGATTTAATAAAGTTAAAAATAAACGTGTACTGAATCCTAAAAGCTATGAAACAACAAATATACGTGGCACTCTTGGGTACAGGTCTCCTCCCATTTATGACAGGGTTTTGTTGCAGGGGAGAGTCCATTGTATTGTTCTAAGATTTGTTGACGTTTGCGGACTTTATATGTGTTCAATATTGTGTTGCGGGGAATGCGAGTGACACGCGCTGTGGCTGGTGACACACTGAATATATTTCAAATAGCGGTCGCATCTTATGTCGCCTCTACACGTTGGCCAACACAGTGGCGAATGGAGTGGCGAATATATTGGCCGAGAGTTGGTGACGGCGTCCACATGTTGGAAGGTCGTTCAGTTTACTTCGGTTCGGGCCAATGTGCGGACAAATTTATAAGCACCGTGGCGCAGTGGCTCAGCAATGAGTGGCTGCGCCGAGCGCCGCGGGTTTTAATGTAGTATTTGTATGTCCTACAAATAATTGTTTCGGGTCTGGATGTGTATCCTTGTGCAATTTATGTTTGTAAACTGCCTGCGTGATACGGGAGAAAATCCTAGTGTGGGGTTAACGTTTTTATAAAAGAATTATAAAATAATAGTGATTATTAATGGGGCTGTAAATAGATATACGATATACAATTAGCTTTATTTATTTTTTACATGCATCATAAACTGGAATAAATACCATTAATAAGAACTTAACTTATTTTAAAGTTAAAGGAGTTATAATCGATTAGTCTATGTTTTAAAATTGGGTTTTGATTTTAAAGTTTAGCAAAATATGTACCTACTTGCATTTCTATCAGACATTTGATGTATATAAAAAACACCATATAATTTATTTGGTAATTTAATTTTTTTTTGAGAAAGACAAAAAGAATAGCAATAAATATAATTAACACTGACTTAATAATGGGTACTAATTATAACTTAGAACATAAATGAAAAACTCATGACGACCAAAGTGGCTCAGGACCATGCTTTGCGGCTGTCTGTGGAGGAGGATGTTCAGTAGTAGACTTGTGAACAGCTGTAATGATGATGATTCGAAATCTTGT